TTAAACTTTCAAGTTGTAACAATAAAAAATTTCAGGTTGTAACAGTTTTTTTTAAAAAAGCTTTTTTTAAATAATTGTAAAAATTTGTTTTGAAAAGTATAAAAAGATAAAAAAAAAAAAAATCATTTCTGAAAAAAAAAGGGTAAAAAAACGGAAATAAGTGTGTTAATTAAATTTGAATTGATTGAAGATAATTACTAATTAGCATAAATTAAGGAAATTCAAACTAATTAAGAATATTTAGTTTCCTTATTTCACTCTAATTTGTTAAAATTAATTAAAAATTATGATTTCATCCATTTTCTTCCACGTTTCTCTCTCTTCGATTTTTTTCCAGAAATCTTGTCACTCTCGTCTAACTCATATTCGTTTTTATTCAATAATCTTTATTTTCTGGACGTCTTCTTATTAGTATTAATAAAACATTGTGGTAGATGGGATCCTTCCAGTTAGTGTTCTTTGCGATTTTTTATTTGTATTGTAATACAAACCAAACGTTCAAAAAAATTATGAACACTGATTCTGGAAATAAAAATATTCAGATTTTGTTTGTGAATAATAGTTTTAATTATGGCGTTTTTGGTATGAATATTCACTTTTGAAATTACATAAATTTGTTTGAAATTGGTATAGATTTTTGTTTGAACATTCATTTTTTTGTATGTTTCTGGTTAAAAAATTACATAAAATTTATTTTAATTTGGTATATTGGTTATACGATGTTAGTACGGTTTTAGAATTATATTTGAATGAATTTCGTATACTATTTGTCTAATAAATGACAATTAATAGGTAAAAGTGATATTATTTTGGTATTATAGTGGCATGATTCTGCTGTGATAAAGTGACGATTTATGTCATGAAATAGGTATGAAAAATGTGCATAATAATTATATGAAATTTGTATACTAATTTCAAATTTTTTGTTGTGTATAATAATTTGAATTATGGCGTTTTTTTAAAAATGTATAATGTTATATTTTGGTATGAACATTGAATTTGTTCATTATTTGTCTGACGCATTTTTTTTTGGTATATTTTGGTTTAAAAAATAGATAATTTTTTCTTTGGAATTTGTATGCTTATACTACCAAGCATGTATGACAATCGATAATGTTTTGGTACGATTTTTTGTTTGATTGAATTTTTTTTTTTGGCATTATATTGTAATGAATTTTGAGAATAATAATGTAATGAATTTGATATATTGTTTATTAAAGAAATGACAATTAATATTTCTAAGTTGGAATTATTTTGGTATTCTGGTGGCATGATCCTAGTATGAATAATTGATAACTTTTGGCATGAGATAAGTAAAAAATGTGTGAATAAGAATTGTATGAAATTTGTATACTGATATAACATATGTGTTTTTATTTTTGTATTTTGTAATAACATATGAAATTGTTTTAAAATAACATATGTATTTTTACTTTTGTATGAATTTTGTAAGCATAAAAATGGTATGAAATTTGTATATTGATATAACATATGTATAAAAGCTATTTGTACTTTTGTATGATATAATATTGACACAATAATTTATGATGAAACAAAAAACTATGCAATTCAAAAAGTGTCGGAGCAAAAATTATTGTCGCCTGGTTCAAAAAGAACTGTAGGGAGACCACAACTTGTAAATGGTTTGCTGATGTGAAATTCAAGATGTCTAAGATTACGTGCAGTACATGTCGTCGGGAGGAACACAATAGGAAGACATGTTCAAATTACCCTTCTGAAAAAAAGACATAATTTATTTTTATTTTGATATGGTTGTTTTATTGTGGCAAGCTCATGTTTTGATTTATTTTGTCTTTTAAGTTAATGAATTATAATTTCAGATATTTATTATGTGTATTAGTTAATCATTTGTGTATTCAGTGTTTTTCAAATGTATACCCAAAAAATAGGTAATGTTTGTATGCGATTGATATTGACTGGAAAAATTAAGTTAAATCTTAGTATGAAATTGGTATACATTTGGTATCCAACTGACGTCCCAGTGGTAAAATTGAAAAAAAAAAACATGTAATTGAAATTTCAACTGAAATAGCCAATGTAAAACTAGTTAATATTGTATCCAATTTGTATAAATTTAGTATTGAATTGATATCCCATTGGAAAATTGAAAAATCAACATGTGGTTGAGATTTCAATCAAATTAGACAATCTAAACAAGTTAATGTTGTATTCAATTGGTATCCAACAAATATCCCACTTGAAAATGAAAAAAACAAAACAAAATGTAGCTGATATTTCAAACAAATTAGACAATCTAAAACAAGTTAATGTTTTATCCAATTTGTATACACTTGGTATCCAACTTGAAATTTTAGAACAAAGACAAAAAATAAAAATGTATAAAATTAGTATCCAATGGGTATAAATCCGGGAAGAATAAATCTGGTTGTAAAACAATGCATATTATATATTGTTGTCAGAAATTGTAGCAAAAGAAATATACATCAGCCAAAAATCAAAACATGTAATTAAAAGTCTAAACTGCAATAATTAATACAAGTTCTATATTTTCCTCTCTCTTCAATTTATATTTCGTATTCAAGTGTGATTTTTTTTTAATCATATTTAAGCTAAAACTTAAGAAATCCTTATTAAAAATTTTATGATCTCATATTATCTATATATATCAACAAATTTCAGAATTAAATATACTTATTTCACCAACAAAACAGTATTTTAGATATAGAAAAACACACCAAAAACAAGTTCAAAACTTAAGTAAAACGATTTTTTTTCTCAAGAAATCAAGTTTTAGATTAATTAAAATAGAAAACGAAATCAAATTTTCAAAATATAGAATTCTTAATTCTAAAAAAATCAGATTAAAAAAAAAACAATATCAAAATTTAAAATAAAAAAAAATCAAGAAAAGCAAAAAATATAGATTAAAGAGAGAAAATTACATGTTAAAATATACGGTGATAAATTTTTTTTAAAGGCCCCAATAGTCACTAATAAATAAAAGTTATTTGAATAAGTTAAAAAATCCCTTAAAAGGTGTAATAGATAATTACAAATTGATTCTCTCTCATTAATATTATTTCTCTCAACTATTAATTATATAAAAGGAACTACAATCAATATAATTAAATAATTAATAATATAAAAATATAAAAAAATTAATCATTTAATAAAGTAAATTTTAATTGATTTTTAAATAAAGTTAAATTTAATTGATATGTTATAACCCGCAATTAAACTGTTATAAGTAAGAATTTTTTAAGAGTAGGTTTAAAACTCGTAATATTATCTCTTAAATGTGTATATGGTGTGATTTTTTCTTTTATGAATTAGACTATATACTAGAAAAAGAAGAGTAACAGGAAACGGGTGGACGCATAAATCGTTAGGAAAAGCGAAAAAACGGGTGAAATTCCTAAGGATAGGAGAAAACAAAGGATGTGTATATAATCCCAAAGAGGAGTCTGATTTAATCATTTATCATGATATGGAAATTAATATGACATATTATTCACAATCATTCTTCATTTTAATGGATTCTACAAAATCTATCAAACTCTCTAACAAAAGAAAAACAGACCCTTTTGTCTTCTAGCCCAAAATTAACCTTCCACCACTCTTCATTTCAAAGCTCCTCTTAACCTTTGTTATTGTCGATACAATATTGACGATGAAATTTCAGTTAATTGTCATTTACTGATCTCATCTTTTACAAAACTGATCTATGATGTTGATCTTATTCTATTCTTAGTACCTTCTTTTGACCTGTCCTTTCTGCAGGTAATTAAATCAACATCAAATCTTATACTTACCTTCTTTTTTTTCTTATTTAATTTGTCTAATTTCTGTTTGCATTATTGTCATGATTGTCTTTCATATGCATGTATGTAATCTCTGTTATTAGGGGCGGTTGCAAGTGTTATTATATAGTTTTAAAACAATACAAATGTATTATAGTACTAATTAATAAAATTTTGAATCCATCTTTGTTTATTACAGTGGCAATTAAAAAATATATGTCAATATTTTGATTTGGGTATCACAAAGAAGATATGCAATGATCTGTTTTAATTTTTTTAATCTTTATTTGGGGTCAGCTTTCAATCTGATAAATTACCCAAATTACAAAATTATTCTCCTTCCGTTCCTTCTTAGTTATCATAGTTTTCTTTTTAAGAGTCGAACTATATGAATTTTGATTAATATTTTAAAATGTATTTTTTTTATCATATTGATATAGAAAAAGTTGCAATTTTATAGTACTTTTCAGATAGTTTTTAAATATCTATTTTAAAATATGGAATTGATGAAATTATCTAATCTAATTGCTTTGAAAATTAGTTAAATTGACTCTCGAAAAGGGCCATGAAGACTAAAAAACAACGGAGGGAGTATGATCCAAGATTGAGCTAATAATTAAAATTTCTAGTGTTTGAGGTGGCGTTTAATCAAACATCCATATTTGATGGATCCAATATTGAGTTATATAATAATTAAAATCCCTACTGCTTTTGTCTATTGAGCCGAAAGAGGGAGAATATTAGGGTGTCTTAAATAACAAATTAAATCAATAAGAAAAAATAATGTATATAGGTTTATGTCACCGCCACTATTTTATTTAATTTGTTTATTTCTATGGTTGTATTACAATCCATGATTGCTTGTAATGCTAATTTAATTTAATATATGTTCATGTCTTTGGATGTATATGTTATAAAAATAGTATTTTATTTGCTAAATTAATGATTGTATTAGCTGCTCCTCATGTGATTTGCAAAATGCTTATGATTCTAGTAAAGTCATACCCCATTTTGGATTTCACATGCACTAAAATTATTAAAGCTAAAAAAAACCAAACTTAGCTCAATGGATCTCTCTTTAATATATTAATTACCTCTTGAGTATGATATCATTCTATATAATAAAATAAAATTGCAGAGGAACAAGATCTGATGAGTCATATTTTTCGATCGATCATAATTTGGTAATACATATTGTTAGTGTCATCAATCTTGTTGCAAAAGATGGATGAACACGGAGGAGGAAGCAAGGTGACAGGTATAAGGCAAATTGTGAGACTTAAAGAGTTGTTACATAAATGGCAAAATGTGACACTTAGTCCTAAAGGTACTCTTCAATCATCAAATATTGATAGTAATAATGGCAATTTTCATGGAGGTATATCACCAGCTATTACAAAGAGGCTAAAGAACTCCATTAATGTGTGTTGTGATTCGGACGACGAGAGTTGCCAGAGTCCAGAGCCACCCCATGGTGTTCCTAAAGGTTATTTAGGAGTTTATGTTGGACCGGAGCTTCGTAGGTTTATAATTCCTACAACTTACCTTAGTGATCCTTTGTTCAAAGTGTTGTTGGAAAAAGTTGAAGAAGAATTTGGATTTGATCATACTGGTGGACTTACTATACCTTGTGAGATTGAGACTTTTAAGTACTTGTTGCAATGCATGGAGAGTCATCAAAGAGGTCATGGTGTTAATCCTCAACATGATTCTTGTGAGTCTAATTTTCCCTACTCTTTTTAATCTTTTTTTGACATGAATTGGTGATTACAGTAGAGGTGGATCTAGAATTTAAAGTTTGATGATGTTGAATTCATTGTACTTTGAATTTTTTGTGTTTTTCACATATATATATATCTCACATCTGTGTTTCGTGTTGAAAATACTGGATTCAGTTGAATTCATAGAACATTGGCTCCATTCATATATAGAATAAGTACTTGCAATATGTCATGTTGAATTTTTTTCTTGAAGAGTTTTTGGTGTGATTCATTTTATTATGTGGTTTAATTGGAAATCATTTGATGGTTTTGGATGCAGCTGGATCTTCATTGGCGATTAAGGGGTGATCAACTACAATGATCTTAGTGGTGGTTGAATCTTTAGGGATGTTTTTTTTTTCCTTAATTCTTCTGGTGTTAATTAATTAAGCTAAGATGATCTTCATGTAATGTAGATTTCATAATTCTTTTTTTTCTCTCTCTTTTACTTCTACCTTTGTATTCAAAGTTAGAAGTAACAAGGTTAGATATTTTTAACAAGGTTCATTGGCAAGAGAAACAACAAAAACCTTTGACCATTTGTTGGAAATAACCTACAATATTTTAGTGGTTATTGACCCTTGCATTTTTAGGCAAGTCTATTTACATCTTTTTGGCTTGTATCTTCTTATTTTGTTTCATATTTTTGTGCTATCATGAATCTTTCTCTTTTCTTTCGAGTTAAGGGTCAATCGAAAACAAACTCTATACCCTACAAAAGATAGGAATTAATATATGCATACATTCTACCCTTTCAGACGTAAATCACAGGGGCGAACCCATATAGCATTTCGGATGCTCGAACACCTATTAATCCTGACGAAAATTTTGTATATATATATATATCAAAAATACTAGAAAATGGGATATAAAGAACTCGCGAGCGCTATTGAACAAAACGTCTTGTATGTACTTTGGTTCAGGAGTAGAATTTTGAGGTCATTGAGGCCTCTAGTTGAGGGTTTGAACCCCCTGTAATAGCATATATTTTTGTTGAAAAAGCTAACTCAAACTTTTTCATTGTTTTTTTTAATTCCTCTTTTTATACATTTTCACCGTTGACTTTTGGTTAAATTTTATTTTTTTTTTAATTTTTCTATTTTTTGTATTTCATTTACTAATTAAACTATAAAAATATTAGTAAGCTTTTTTTTTTTGGCTAGCAACTTTAAGTGAAAGGATTTGAGCATCCACGACCATCAAATCCTGGATCCGCCACTAATAAATTCCACTGGATATGTTATTATTGTTATTTGGTGTTTACTACTCCTGTCGATTCAAATAGTATAACTCTTATAGTTATTACTGGATGGTCGATTTGAAATATTTGGAAGAGAATATAATCTTGGTAACATGCTTATGTTTCCAAGGTCTCCAGCATGGTATCTTTGTTGAAGATTTAATAGAATATTTTAACTGATGAAGTAGTTTGTTTATGTTACTTCACAGAAGCTGGGTTCTCCCTGCCTTTAATTTGACAATGCTGCTAAATTAACATGCCACAACTAAGCAAATTACTAGCAATATTGGAGGTAAGACAGTTTAGGATAGTACAGAATACTATGTAGTTACGGGTAAAATTAGCCCATGAAAATATGAGTCACACAATTTATCTATGTTTGGGTGTAGGGATATCAACTGGGCATCTCTTCTTCTTTTTTTTGTTGAGAAAATACCCGATCGATCAAAATATTTAGGAAAAATTGTATGAAATAGAAAACTATTAATTCAAATTAAATGTTATAGCCATAGTTTATTTTAATTGTAATTCGCAACAAACATCTCCTTTTTTGCCATCTGATTAGGTATACAATTAGCCATTTTCGGTATACAATTAGTCATTTTATACATTTCAGTATAAAATATATAAAATGCGTTTGTGCTTGTATAAAGCGAGAAAAAAGTGTATATACAAATACAAATACATATATTTTCGTCATATACACTTATAATCATACAAATACATATCTTATTATACGAATTACAATGTATAAATGAATTTATTCAAAATTGAACAATTTGTATAAAATTGGATGTTTGTAGCGAATTATACAAATCAAAAGCTCCATAGCAAACATAAAATTTGTTATGGAGCGCAATTATGCAAACAATAGCTATAACTTACAAATATAATTTTTATGTTTGCTATATGTGAAAGTTGCTCTAAAAAAGATCAAAGTAAATCTCAAGCAATAAACACAAGTTAAAGTAAATCTTTAAAATAGGTTATAATTGAACTTATAATAAAGATTTTGGGTCATATTTGACGGCCATATTTTGGCGAGTTGGGCTCACTATATTTTCACAGGGGAAGTTGGTTCAATTTGGGTACAACCAAGTCAGCCTATTTAGAAGTTGGGCTCATTGAGCTGTCGTAGACAAAATTTGAAGAATAACCTTAGTAGGCGTTTGGCCATGCGATATCATATCACGATATGAAATCGCAAGATGAAATCAGCGTTTGGACATACAATTTTATGTTGATTCTGTCTTATGATTTCATATCATGACATGGAATCTCATATTCTTCAAAAATCATATTTGGGAATTCCATATCATGATTTGAAATTTTTTAAATACAAAATTGACCCACAAGTTTATATTTTGTTAAATCAACCCACATTTATATTTACTAACCATTTATTTCATATGTAAATTAAATTTATAATCATATCATTACTTTTTAAAATTTATTATTTTCATCAACATAAAATTTATTATTACTTTAAATTTGGTGAAGAGAAATGATAAATTATGAATTGATTTTGTGAATATAAATAAGAACAGAGGGAGTAATACTCTTTTTGGTAAAAAAACTTCTCTTTCGGCTACATATGAAAATGTTTAAAGCAATTTAATATGAAAAAGGACAAAATTAGTAATGTATATTTGATAATCACTACTTTCAATATGTTTGATTTTAGCACGAAATTAATGCACTGAAAATGTGTAATTGCACACAAGTGAAACAAGGCAAGAACCATTATGATATTAATACACAAGTGAAAATTGTCATAGCTTGTACATTGTTACATAAGTATTTGCGAGAATACCAAAGGGGTGATGAAATATTTATTGTCTATGAGCATGAAAATATAGTTGCGAATGATATTCTTCAACAAATAACTCAAAGTAACAATATTGGTTTGTCTTTTCGGCCATATGATCGAGAAATACAAGTTCAATGTGAGAGATTGTCCGTACTATGTGAGAGGATTAAATTCAAGACTAATACACTACAATTTATGTCCAATTTTTTTTATTGAATTAAAGTTTGATCAATTAAAGTTAGATGAAACAATTACTTAAGTGGAGAACAAATAGCTTTGTAATAATTTATTATGCACTTTTATAAATTTTTATTTATTTGGTAAGACTGAATAAATAATTGAGGCTCTTTTAATAGTTTTACAACTTATGAGGTTCTTATGTTTATGAGAAAATATACAACACAAAAATTTCATATTGCATGTCCAAACAAAACTTCAATTTCATATCATGATTTCATATTATGATATCATATCATGATTCCATATCATGCTTCTATATCACATGGTCAAACGGGCTCTTATAAAGTGTCATACGGTGCAAATATATAATCTTAGTTTCGAGTTTTGAAATGTGTTTTACTCAAAAAATATAAATTAAAGAAAGATGACTAAGTTTTCGAAAAATCGATCAAACTTATGATTTAAGAGAAATCGAATTTTCAAAGGAACAGAGTCGCCACTTAACTTTTTAGTAAAAATCAAGAAAAAAAACTTAGGGTTTTCAAAAGACTCAAACAGATTACAATCAATTGAAAATAAAAGGGTTCGAAGTTCAATGTACATTCCGAGAAGGTGTTAGGCCCTCGAAATGCCCGCTAACTTGCGGTTGACAGACGATTTGACTAAAAATAATTTTGACTAATTTTGAAATTTTAACTAAGTAAAAGAACTCATTTATTTTAACTAATTTTTGAAATTTTAACTAAGTAAAAGAACTCATTTATTTTAACTTATTTATTTATTACTATTATTATTTTTATCATTTTTATTTATCTTAAGGGGAAATGAACTAAAGGGGAATAGTTTAAATGTTGATAATACCAAAATTAAAACGGAAGCTAGGTGAATAAAATATGTATAAAATAAATATTTATACCATTTGAATATAAAAACGAAATGGCAATCTATGAGAATTCAATTAAGTTAAACTATAATAGTCACATAATATAATAGGTAAAGAGCAAAGCGAAGAAATATCAATTGGGCCTTTGACCCAAATTCGTAAACTTGTCCTAATACTAAAATGACCCAAAATATGAATTTGGGCCTATTTAATTACAATTTTGCTGCTGGGCCATTCTTTTGGGCCTTTTCGAGACCTGAAAATTCAGTTTTCAGCCACCTGTACTGCTTTCCACCTGCGTTTTTGGCTTTCAAGAGTCTTATTTCAGCTTCCAAACTTTGTGCAAGTGAGATTGACTCGGGAAATAATGCTATTGGGCCTTCGTGGCCCAATCAGAATGCAAATGATGATGTATTTGAATGAGACTCCACCAACGATCACATGCATTACAACAAATATTGATGCATTAATATTGAATTCAATTGGAATATATGCAAATGAAATTTAACTAAAACAAAGGCAAAATTAGCATAGACAAGGGTTATTCACAAGGAGTGGAGTTTAAAAAGATTATAATCACAACCAAATAAAAGAAAATAATGCAACAAAATTGGTCCAATTGATTCCTACAATTTAAGACTTAACAAAGTTGTATGAAAATGCTTCCGATCAAATTAGATGCTAGACAAATCATTTTAACCAAAAACTAGACATCAAAACTTGAGTAACTTAGCATATTTGTAAGTAAAATAATTCATGACAAAAGTGAGTGCATTTTATACAATGGAGAGGACATAGGACAGACTCATCAAAAGACAAGGTCACATATATTCGAGTTGTGCAAAGAACATAATATCGAGCTAGAGCATAAAATTGCTTACATTCATAATGAAAGAGAACCAAACTTGAACAAGAAAAACACATCATAATAGAATTTAATCCCAAGTATCTAGGAAATCTACAAGAAAACATAATGTAAACTAACAGAAACTACCATCACAACCGATTTAGATGCTGGAAACTAACACACTAATAGAATACTTAAACAGAGATGTAAAACTGACAGGAATCAGATGAAACCAAAATAAAGAAGAGAGTTCACCTCTTTTCGGGCAGCGAACGGGAACCACAAGCTCGAAAGGATGCTTCCCCACCAAGAATAGGACTCCGAGGATTCCTAGGATTCTAATGAGTAGCAAGGAACAACGGGAACATGAACTAAACCGAAATCTGAATTCCAAGAAAT